ACACTTTATTTGATGTCAAACCTGTGACAAAGGCCTACGGCCTATGAACTTGATTTATGGCAAACTTCTTTAAATCCTTTAACGTGCTGAGAATCATAGCTACCTGGTTGGTTGTTCATCTCAGGGCAAATGATATTCTCAGCATTCATTGCATTTCTTAGTGTGTTCCTCTAGCCTCATTCTAGGGAAGCAGCTTAGAAAAAGAGTTTGTTGGATGCTGATATGTTTGATTTTAGGGACACAAGATGTGTATAAACTTCTCTTCATCCAATATGTTCGTTTACACTTAAATGTAGGTGTTTCTGCTTTGCCCGCCTCTTTTTCACTAGGACACCCACACATGTACTGTGTTAGAACATAAATTCACAGCTATCTGTGTTAGAACATAAAAGCAAAGTTTGAAATTTTCAATCACAAAGAGGAAAACCAAAGAAAAAAGAAGCCCATAAAATGAATCTAAGTCCCAATAGGAATCAGGTTCAAGAAAAACAAACAAATTGAAAAGGAGACAGAACAGAATCATTCAATTAAAGAAAGAAAATAAAGCAGAATCATTATATTCAATTAAAGAATAGATTTTTATGAAGGCAACCCACAGATTCATGAAAGGTAAAGAACAATAGACCCGAAAAATTGCAAAAACCAATGCCATAACATCGTCATTTGGTGCTAGCATTAAGGATGACACGTATTGTTCATGCTTTCTAACTGCTTGTTTTATTATTAATTGTCACTTCATTTATCTTATGGATTGTGTACCTGAAGTATTTGCTTCAAGAGTATGTTCCACTATCACTTCTGTCATTTCTTCTATTCTTTCAAGATTAGATACATTTGCCCAAAGGATTCTTAATATTACTTCCTATGCATATTGCAAAAGTAATTCTTATATACTCCGTATATTACATCTTGCATACATAGACTAGGACAAATGTTGAAGTGCATTACTGACGCCTACAACTTAGCTTTTTTATTGTCATTCTTGGCATCAGGGATTTCTTCAATCTTTCTTTTATAAACTTTGTTTATATCAACAACATGTGTAAGTTCAGAAAGCATGTATAAAGAATAATTGATGGCCTAAATAAATAGACTCCAACCAACGAGGCACATGTTTGTTACTGCTTCTCAAACCAATCAGGTTTGGTTAGGTGTTTGGTTGCTCCCTTGTACTTCTATACATTTTCATCCTCTATTCTTGTGTACCTATATGCTCTAGGTGTTAAAAGGTAGCCATTCAATATCTTTTCCTCTAACTTCAACTTACCTAATACAGTAGAGGAGCTTACATCTTCTGGAAGAGCACTACCCAGAAAAACTTAGTCTATGTTTCATGTAGGAACAGTGGACAACATTCTCTTTACTAAAAACTATGCTACATGGAATTCAGATATTATTTGGATATTCCTTAAAGTTAAGATGCATGGTGTAGTATAATAGCTTTACGGATGAGAAAATATATTATTTCAATTCAGTTGTCCAACTTTAACTTGCCTAATACTGACCATGTTGTAGCATTCATCTAATGACTCCAGTCGAAAGGTCAGCAAATCCGACTTCCATTCTTCATTCTTTTTAAGGAACCCAACCAAGGGGCCTGTGCCTCCCTAGGCTGTCTTGATCCCTTATGGGCTTCCAAGGAAAGTCACAGCCCTAGCCTCCCAGCCTCGGGTCACTTTCCTCCCAAAAAAACGTTAACCGTTGAGTTCCATCTCAGAAGATCCCGATCTTTCTCTTTGTTTTGAATAGCTATCCCTTTGTACTCAAGCCATGAAGGAATGGATGCAAACTAAGAAGACGGTTCATTCCCAAAATAAAGGACCTGCAGCGGCGGAGACCATTTTAGGTCATTCACTCCCCCAGTTTTAGTATGTTCGCAGGAAAGACAAGCTTATCTTGAAACTGAAACTCCTAGACAACAAATCTTCGATTCGATTGATTTGAACTCATTCGTCCCAATACTATAACTAATCCATCAGCCAAGCTTTCCTATTCGTCCAGTTAAGAAAAGCAGCTTTGGGCGCCTTTGTTCTATTTTTTGCGTCTGTCCTGGTGCAAATTGAGTCTATAGTTTTGGTCTTCGTCCCTCTCCCATTGGTCGAGTGACTTCATACCTTTCCCGTTGGTCGAGTGACTTCGTACCTCTCATTCAGAGGCTCTTAGCGATGTTTACTAAACCCTTAGAATTGTGGCTTCGTCGTGTTAGACCAACCTGAAAGGGTACTGATTACGAAGGAATTTCAATCACTTGCACAATTTGAAATTTTCATTTTCTTTCATATATTTTTTAGTAAAAACATGTTCTCAATTTGTATTTGATTAGTATATGTATCTGTCTTTGGACAGGGCTGTAGCCGAAATAAGTGATGGCAGTGGTAGTCTACAGGTCAATCTCTTCACCGAGGAACTGCAAAAAGTATTAAAGACAGTCGAATGGAATACACCGCTGCATGAAATCAATTTTGTGAAACTGAACAAAGCCCTACAAACACTCAAGGTTATTGCTGCCATCAAACCAACACCAGGCTCTTACGAAAGACAAACATCAAACATCTACTCACTGCTAAGCCTCTACAGACTCTCTCAAAGGGAGGCAAGCACTCAGAGTTTAAAGAGAAAGCTGAAGGTTGAAGAGGACTACCACAAAAAGAAAGCTTAACCCATGTTTTAAGATCTTAGAAACTTATTTGGACTTAAATGTATATTTCTACCCCTCTTGTAACATATATGTATCCCAACTAGGTAGGAATCCTCTACATCTCATATATGAAGTGCATGTGAGCACTTCAATTTTTGTAAAACAGTCCCTATGTTAGAATTTATACATTTGCAACATATCATAAATGAAGTGTAGGTGATCACTTCAATTTTTGTAAAACAATGTCTAAATTTCTCGTAAAGTACTACACGTATGCCGTATTAAAAAAACTTGGCACATTATACAAAAAATTTGGGCACGCACACAACGTGTGTGCAATGCTAGTAATTCTATAAGGCGCTAACATGGTTAGTCCTAGTTCTTTTTCCGTCTTCTTTGACGCGGCTCCGTTAATTCACAAATTCCACAAAAGTGAGATGTTATTGGCCGCTTCGCCGCCCACTGCCCCATACATACACTGCGTTGCTGCCCATCGTCCCTCGACATACACTGCGTAGCCCAAATCCAAGTTGTCTTCTCCAACTCATCTACCTCAAATCAAGGTAATTTTATACCTTTTCTTCGCATTAGACAACAATTTCTTCCTTTGGGGTCTATAAGGCGCTAACATGGTTAGTCCTAGTTCTTTTTCCGTCTTCTTTGAAATTCCACAAAAGTGAGATGCTATTGGCCGCTTCGCAGCCCACTGCCCCATACATACACTGTGTTGCTGCCCATCGCCCCTCGACATCCACTGCGTAGCCCAGATCCAAGTCGTCTTCTCCAACTCATCTACCTCAAATCAAGGTAATTTTATACTTTTTCTTCGCATTAGACAACAATTTTTTCCTTTGGGGTTTAGATTCATAGTTCACTTCCTAATTAGTGCGACAGGGACGCCCACGGCAGCTGCGCAGTCTACGACGCCCACGATCGGGAATCCGTCGAGGGAATCTCTGGGTGCCCGCTTACCGCGGAGCTCGCGGCCATCTGGGGTTTTGGAAATCAAGTCTGAATCCGGTTTGGGGCGGGTTATTATCGGACCCCATGGAGGTCCAAGGAATTCTCTCCTGAGTTTCTACCTCACGACTTAACAGTCCAGTAACAATAACCCTACAGTCTATCCGAACTCTGGCCGCCAAATGAACAAGAAGCAGAATCCCAGTTGGTGTGATAAGCACCAAAACGTTATCACACCAAATGTCTACAATTTTCAACTACAATGTACAGAGCATGAATTTAAAGTTGAAAATTATTCACAGAACACTTTGAACTGAAAAGTCAATCAATGAGTTCTTTATATTATCTATAAATTCTAGTAGGCTTAGAACTAAGGGGCCTTAGGCCCCATTCCGTTCAACTTATTTTTTCTGCTTTTTTCTTAATCTTATTAAAATCAGATCAGATCTAATCAGATCAGAACCAATCAGATCAGATCAGATCATATCAGACCCGATCAGATCAGATTAGATCTAATCAAATCAGATCAGATCAGATCCAATCAGATCAGATCTAATCTGATCAAATCAGATCCAATCAGATCAGATCAGACCAGATCAGATCCAAATAAGAATTATTTTTATTATTATTGTTGTTGTTGTTATTATTATTATTATTATTACTACTACTACTACTACTACTATTATTATTATCAATATCTTTATTACTCCTTACTTTTTAAATTCCATATTTTTTAGTTGTTTCACTTGATACGGTTCTTTTAAAAAATAAATTTAATTCTATTTAAAAAATATAAGAAGAAAGAACATGAATTTTTTTGTGTGATTATAATTTATGTAGACTAAAATAAATGATATGAAGCACAATTGTTTTCTTAAAAATGAAAAATAATAAACTTTAGAAACAAGCTAAATAGAAACCCGAGAAAGTAATCTTTAATTATTAATGAAAAATGTATTATTTCTTTGCTTAACATTGATAATATAAGGATGTGATCTTTTAATAAAA